CCAATGTTCAGACATTTTCCCAAAGAAAATAGAAGATTCTCTGCTGAGACTTCGCTGTCTGGAAGCTTGGCTGCTAAGCAGGGGACAGACTTTACTTGAAAGGCTACTTGAGGTTCATCCCTTTCCCAAACAATAAGCTATAGGTGTCATCTTCATTTTTTTAAATCCTTTATTATCTCCATATCTCACAATTTGCTGAGCAGTGGTGGGGAAGGGGAAGTAGGATCCAAATCTGTGATATTCACAAAACTATATTTCTCTTATCTTTTTTAGAATATTAAATATGCTTAACGTATAGTTGCTTTGCATTGATCTATGCCAGTGATGGCGAACCTATGACATGCGTGTCAGAGGTGACACGTGAACTCATTTTTTTGGTTGATTTTTCTTTGTTAAATGGCATTTAAATATATAAAATAAATATCAAAAATATAAGTCTTTGTTTTACTATGGTTGCAAATATCCAAAAATTTCTATATGCAACACGGCACCAGAGTTAAGTTTGGGTTTTTCAAAATGCTGACACGCCGAGCTCAAAAGGTTCGCCATCACTGATCTATGCTCTCCAGTGCTAGGGGGTATTAATTGTCCTAATTATCGCTTCTGTGAACTTTCCTCGTGATAGTGTGTGTTGATATGAGGTGTGTAATTTTTTATAGTAAGCTCATCTTTACTGGTGGATTTTTTTTTCCCTGTGGGAGTCCCAGGTGCCCTGGATTGGGGAATGTCTCTGCAGAAAAAGTTTGCCCTTGTTCAACCCCAGCCTCCAGTATGATACCAACAGGTTCTCACATACTGCTCTGGCTTTGAGTTTCCCTCTATTTCTGGTAGCAGAGAGTGAGGTTTGGTCATGTGTAAACAATTCTTGTTATATTTTACCCAGCTGCGTTTTGGTGAGTTTCACCTTCCTTGCTTCTGGAACTCAAGTCTCACTCCTCCATTACCTCTCTGGGACTAAGATGAAGTGGTGAGAACTACATTGGCACGAAGCTTTCCCAGTGCGTGACAGTGATGCACACTACAGGCCAGTGACGGCCGCTCAGTGCAATAGCTCGGGAGACCGGTGTATTCCTCAGCTTCTAGAGCCGTGATGGCGAGCCTTTTGAGCTCGGCGTGTCAGCATCTTGAAAAACCCTAACTTAACTCTGGTGCTGTGTCACATAGAGAATTTTTTGATATTTGCAACCGTAGTAAAACAAAGCCATATTTTTGATGTTTATTTTATATATTTAAATGCCATTTAACAAAGAAAAAATCAACCAAAAAAATGAGTTCGCGTGTCACCTCTGACACGCGTGTCATAGGTTCGCCATCACTGCTCTAGAGAGAGCAGGCAGAGCCGCCGCACAGCCCTAACGCGCTCCAGCACCATCTCATCCCATTCAGCCCCACCTTCGGGGTGGACTTTCCCCAGGCCAAGCGACTCTCTAAATGCTCAGAAGCATCTCCAAGGGACTTTGGGAATCCTGAAACTAGTATCATCTTCTCCCAGATCAACATTAATGCCAGTGTCCCTTCGTGTTCCTCTGTGGCTGCAGACCTGACCAGGCACAGGAAGGGAGGGTTCACGGTGAGAAGGGCACAGGGAAGAGGGGCTCATTCTACCAGTGATGAGAGACTTGAAGGAATGAAGGCACTAATTCACAGCTGGAGCCAGAGTCCTCACTGAAGAGGCCCTGATCCAGAGGTCCCTGGGACCACTGAGGGGTTGATGGCGGCTCCCTGTGGGGTCCTTTGGAAGAATAAGAAGTTAGAAGACGGTACCAGCCACAGCCAGCCAACCTGAGGAAGCCTGGGGCCAGAGTGCCCCCAACCTATCTCTCGTCTAGCTGGTCCCTTTTTTCTTATCACTTAGGAGCGACTCGGCTCCGTTCCAGATCAGCAGCCTAGAGCAGTGGGCTGGAGAGAAGAGGTGCCGCTGAGCTAGAGCAGCCCAGCGGCGGAAGGGAAAGTGGGTGATAAATTTAAATAACCAGCTTGACTTGGCAGCTTGCTGAGTTGTGATGCAGTGAAATTAAAATCTCGGCAGAACTTGCAAACACTACCCAGAAAAATCGGTCTCTCTCCTTGGTTCCATGATGGAAGGTGGGGAGGGGAGGCTACCGGGCCGAGCCCCAGCCTCTGGCAGCCACCCTTGCTTGCAATGTGATTAGCTGTGTCCTGGCCCACTGGGCCCCACTCTCCCCTCCACACAATAGTCCAAGCTCCTCTCTCCTCTCAGTCCTGACCTTGTGGAACAGCTGTATCAAGTGGCTGGTGAAGTTTGAAATCAGCTTCCAGTGCCAGGAGGTGGCAGGAATATCAATAAGGTCGGCTCCTCAAGTCAGGCTAGGGCATTCCGGGCTGGTTTCCTCAGGACTCATCCCCGGAGGCTGCAGCTTCAGCTGCCTGTCCCCAGGGAAGATGAGCTGGGTGCCTGAGACGTGGGGAATGAAGAGGGCTCCTTGAACTGGTACGCCTAAGCCAGGCTGTAGGCACAGGGTGCCCCCCTGCATCCACACACCTGGCCAGACACCTACCTGAAAGGGCCTCCCTTTTCTTCCTCCACCAAAGCCCTTCATATTCACCAACAAAGTCAGCTTTTCAAGAATCTTGGGAAGGAATTTCTACAAATACACCACAGCCTCTCCCAGATCCCAGCCATGCTTGGAGCTTGGTTCTCCCAGATGCCCACATCTTTCTAGAGAACTGTGTGTCTGCTCTCCTGGCATCACTGCTCACTGCTCCCCACAAAGTCCTGGCCTGAAGGCCGATCTGCTGGACCCACTCCTGAGATGGGCCATGAAATCTCTGGGCACTGCCTTGTTTCTCACCTTGACAGTACCTTCAGCAAATTCTGTTTGTCCCCATAATAAACACATCATGAATCATTCATCTTTAATAGATTATGCAAATTAGGAGGACATAAAATCAACGAAGATCAATAACTGCAGCCGTTTAATTGCCAGCAAAAACATTTTAAGAATGAGGAGCCCTTTCTCGGGTAATGGCACCATTCATCCAAACACTGGATCTTGGCCTAAGTGTAGAAAAATCATTCCCTGCCCCCATCCCCTTCTACTTCCCCTCCCCCACATCTCCACACACTTCTCTCTTTTTGGTAATTTCCAGTTTCTGAGCGAGTTTCCCCGTCATTACCACTGGTGAACAGCTCCGAATGTTAATGGTTCTGCTTTTGTTACTCCTCGCTTGATTGAAATGTCGCATACAGATTGAGATGTTAGTGCTAACTTGCCACCTGGGAATGTCAAGCTGGGTCTGAAATGAACTTTTCTCACACTTGGATCCAGATGGATCAGCCGGAGATGTTCCCAGGCTGGGCTGGGACTGTTCCAGGGCAATGGGGGTGGGGTGGGGCGGGGGGAGGCAGGCGGGGGAGGCTCAAGGTGGAGGGACTTTTCTCCACTAGCCCCAAGTTTTCCTGCAGCAGGAGCCCTGCCCCCAAGTTCCATCTCTCCAGCCCAGGAAACACCTGCCTTCAGGACTGTGGCCATGAGCCCAGGGGAGCACAGCTGGGATTAGAGAAAAGTCTTCTGGGCTCTGTTTCACCAGTTACCTAAGGTGGCCCCAATGGGAAGTGACACTGTAACTCTCGGCAGATCAGGAGAAAGGTGGGCTGGCCTGGGCCATCTCCCTGCCGAGGGTCACAATACCCAGCAGCTCAGAGAGCTTCCAAGTTGAGCTACGGAGAGCTCATGCCAAGTGTCAGTTGATAATAGGCTGTGTCCTGATCCAGCTAAGATTGTCACTTTCAAAAGCCTGATCAAACAGTTCTCTGACACTTCCGGAACTCAACCTCTGATTGTCTAGCCACAGAGCTCAACACTGTCCAGGCTGGAAACGTTGCACCAGGACACCGCTTGAGGGAAAGCTAACAACAGGGCTCTCCCAGCCTCCCAGGTGGTGGCTGGGTGGACACCTGCTGCCCATCTCAGGCCTGAGCCATACTCAGATCACCTCCAAGTCAGAAACAGGGCCCTGTCTTACAGCGAGCGGGGCCAGGCCTGCTCCTGGTCTTGCCACTGGCTGTGACGCTGGACGCTTGCCACCCTGCTGCCAGGTCCCCAGGCCGCCTCCACTCGCCTCGGCTCACCAGGTAACGCCTCAGTGTCTCCCAATCCCCACCGAGACCCTTCTCAATCATTCTGTCTCCCAAGGAACAAACGGCACATTGCCTTTAGTGGCTCCAGAATAATTAGGTGAATTTTAATAACACCTCAATGTGTGTCTCTCCCACTTGGGCACTTCCCTGGCCTGGAAACCCTTCTGCAGTGCCAGGCGCCTTCCGCAGCCGACAGCTCTGAGGTCTAGCGTTCATCGGCTGGCCCTCACCGCGCCACATCCCCGCCTTCTTTCGCTCCAGCTGCCTCTGCTGATCCTAGTCCATGGGACCACCCAGATTATGTGACCCTGCATTGCCTGTGGGACAGGCCCCACCTCTCTGGCCTTGGATCAAGCCTTGGTCTCTGTGATTTCTCTGGGAAGCCGGGAAAGCACTGGGATAATTGTGCTTTTCTATAACCAGAGAGCTGGATGCCATGTCCTAAGCCACAGCCACCCAGGCTGCCCAGTGGGAGAGGAAAACAGGTTCCCAACAGCCCTGGGGACCTAAGAGCATGGAGGCTGGACCCTGGGCACTGATGCTCCCTCCTGCCAGCCTGGCCTATTTACTCTCTGCCTTCTCCTGCGCAAATCCTAGTTAGAGGCTTATAATGCTGGGCACCTCGGTGGAGGCAAGAATAAAGGCAAAGAGAGAGGAAGAGGGTTGGCAGAAAGAGCCGGCAATGACCCCCTTTCCGGGGGGAGCACACAGAGGCCCTGACCACAGTTTCTTATCCGCACCTCTGCACACATCCATTCGGGAAGCGCCCTGGATTTGGGAGCCTCACTCTCTCTGCAGATATGGCAGGCGGCCTTCTTATCCCCCTGGGCCCCAGGCGGCATGAGCTGAGGAGCTCCCACTGAAAGCCGTGCTCCCACCCTCCTGGAAGCCCTCTTACCGGTCACAACGGGGTATGTCTGCGTGCCTGACACGTTGCTGCCCAGCTCGGGGTTGGTGGATGCAGATAGACTCGACTTGACTTCATCAAGCCCAGGGGTCAGGGCTGGGAGGGAGTACTCGTTCCCCTGGGAGGAGAGAGAAAAGCGACAGCTCTCTATTGATGCACACACTCGGAGGAAGAGCTCAGTGTGCAGATGGGGAGGAGGACCGGGGAGCCCTCCCAGATGGGGTGGAAGGAGATGGCCAGGGAGAGGGCGGGAGGATGGGCGGGGCGGGCTGGAGGATGATGGAGAGTTTGTATGGGTGGATGCAGACCTGACTGGGAAGCTGAGGTGCAGCCTATACATTATCGGTCGTTATCCCAGCACCCTCAATATTGCTGTAGCAGCTCTTCCTAGGAAGCCCCAAGGGTGGAGTATAGCACTGAGGCTCCCCTGCTGAGAGGCAAGGGGTGTTTTAAGGTCCCCCTGGGGTGGGGAGCCTTGGGGAGGAGGGGTGGACCATGACATGATGGCAGAAGGGCCTAGTGGGGCCTCCAGCCTGGCACTGCTGGGCTGGCTGATCGGGTGCTGGCGCCCCTTTTTTAAAAAACAAACAAAGACAGCCCCATGGGCCCCTCGCTCTCTGCCTGTGCACTGGGGTATGAAATTGGGGAGGGGGAGAGTCCACATGGCTAACAGAAGGGTGGGAGGGGGCCAGTCATTGACTCTGAAAGGGTGTCCTGCCCGAAACACTCGGGTAATTGCCTTTTTATTGCAGCCACCGCCAAGCCAGACCCCAGTGCTGGGCAGGCCAGGAGCCTGCACAAAGCAGGAAAAGTTGCTCTGATTAATATTACGTTAAATTAAAACTGATTTTCTGCTCTTTCGGGTCCGTTTTTTTCCCTTCCGCTTCCTGGCCCCCCCCCAGAGGACCCCCTCCCCTCCCTGGCTGGACGGGATTGCCTCGTCATTTCCAATTCCTTCTCGTATTGATCTTCCTGTAGAAATCAGTTTTGTAATTAGCTGCAAATTAGGCCTTCTACTGGGGGTGAAGCTGCCCCCTGATTTATCACCAGAGTAATTCGCTGTGATCGGAGAGAAATTAAAATGAACTCAATTAGGCTTCGGATTTGCTTTATGGGCCCTGCTCCGAGTTTCAGGGGGAAAAATGACTGTGCTGGTGTTTAATAGTCTAATGAAAGTAAATAAAGGTTATTCATTGTAATACAGCCGGGGACTCGGGGAGGGTGCACCGAGGCTCCTGCCTCGGCCGGCTCCTCCTTTGTTGGTTTATGGCTCAGGGCACCTTAAAAAGACTTTTGATTTTTGTTTTATGAAGACAAACAGCTTATGGGATAAAAGGACGGGCGGGGAGAAAGGCGAGTGGCTGTGAGCTGTTGGAGTCCTAGAGCGGAACTGTGCTGTGTGGAGCCCGTGGGGCTGCGCTGGTACATGTGTGCTTATGTGCTGGGGTGTGTGTGTGTGTGTGTGTGTGTGTGCATGTGCTGCATGTTTGAGCATGCACCGTGTGTGTGTGCAAGCGCAGCTGAGTGTGTGGTGCTGTAGTTGTGGGCCTGGGCTGGGCTGTAGGTGTGGGAGGAATGGGGGCGTGTTCCTGTGTTGGAGCGTGTGCACTGTGGGCTACATGAGGTGTGGGGGCAAGGGGGCTGGAGGGGGCTGAGCTGGTGGGGGGAGTACTGGGAGCACTGTGGGCTGTGGGGAGGGGGAGCCAGTGGGTGGTGGTGGTGGTAAACATGTGCACAGGGTTAATGTGAGAAGTTAGCAGATGTATTTGTACATTGTGTATTATGCGGGTGTGCTGTGGGCGGCGTCCCATGCTGTGTGTTCTGGGCTGTTCTGCATCTGCAGGAAGTATTGGGTCTGAGAGGTAGGCTGTCAGCCTGCCTGGGATCACACCGGACAGCTGGATCGGGGAGCAGGAGGCAGGGACAGCCGGGCAAGAAGAGTGCCTTGGACTTGCATAGACTTTCTGTAGGACCCCGGGGGCGGGGGTGGGAGGGTAGGAGGGAGGATTTAGGCAAGGGACATGGCAAAAGGAAGTTCCCGAATACTCGACACCAGAAGCAGGTAATGGCAGGGCCAGAAGGAACCTGTCAGATCACACCTCCAAGCCCTTCATCTATAGATGGGGAAACCGAGTCTCTGAAGGGAGTAAGACTTACCCAAGGCCACACTCGCACCCAGAACTCACCATTTCTAACTACCATATGCCATAATGATTTGCCCAACTCTACTATAATGTGCTGTGTGCGCCTGTTCACACGGCCCACACACGGTGCATCCATGAGCAGCACATGCAATGCAGGTGTGCACATGGCTGATCCCTGTGCATGTTCTCCAGAGGCCTGTTCTGCCAGGTCCTTTCCACTTCTGCACCCAGGAAGCGCCTTCCTCACCTGTTCTGATTTGATGTGCTCTGATGCCTGGAAGACGTCAGGGTAGGAAGGACGCTCAAAGACCCGATCCAAAGCTTCCAGCTGCTGCTGGGTGAAGGTGTCAGCTCGCAAGTGCTTCCGCAAACTGTCCACGCCACTCTGGGAGTCTCCATTGGGGACTGATCCCTCGGACACATCTGGGGGACACATGGACACTCGAAGCATCAGTGCAGGCCAGCGAGGCACAGAGTAGTGCAGTGGGTAAAGCAGGGCACCTGGCTTGGTCCCTAGGGCTTCGCACTCCTGCTGGGGCCCCTTACTCCCAGCTTTGGGGCTGGAGGGGCTGGCCCAAGGCTGGCCATGCCTCAGAGACCTGGCTCAGGAAGCCAGAGCCTCTGAAGGAGCTGGGGAGAGACAGGAAAGTTGTCCCAGGATAAGGGGCCAGAGGACTAGACAGAGGTGGAGCCAGAAGGGCTCTCAGGGGCCATCTCCCCTGAACTCCTATCCCCTGGTCTGGGTCAACCTGGCGAGGAGCTGGGTGTCTGGGACCGGCATTACCCAGCCTCTGGAGAATTGAACGTGGCTCTGAGATGAATTTCAGTTCCACTGACTCCATGGGTGGAAAATCATCAAATCTCCGAGGCTGAGTGTAACATGGAGACTGGGTGAAGCAATTAACTTCACCACAGAGGGAGGAGGGACTTGAAGCCAAACTGAGGCATGTGGCTTGCACTGGGCCAGGACGGAGACCAGAGCAGGGGGACAGCAGGTGGCAGGTGGGCAGTAAAATGCTAACTCGGACAGACTGAAGACAGAGTCTGTGTGGATGCTGCTGTGCCCAGGCACCCTGCTCAGCCTCTGTCCCTGACCCGGACTCTGGCTAGGCCTCTATCAGAGGCCAGTTCCCTGGCCACCTGGTTCCTCCTGTGGGTCTCAGTGGTGCCACATTAGTGCCTGCTCCCTGGGGCTGCTGGCCAACTCTGTCCACATCCTGCCCTACCTAAGCTTTCTCTCCTTTCTGCTCCCTTGCTTCCCCGCCCTCCCATATCAGGGCCACAGTGAGCCCAGTGCCTACTCTGCCACCTCTCCCTGAACCCCCACCCTGTAACTCCCCTGGACCAAAGCTGGGTTCTCCCCAGCCCTAGCTTGGCCAAAAGCAGCTGGGGAGCCTTGGGCCTGGGTCCAGACCATGTTGTAGGCCTCAGGATGATCCTCTGGGACTGTTATATATATCAGTTTATAGGTGATTATACGATATGATATAATCAATATTGCATTATATACAGTAACACCGTACAGTATCATTCGGGAGAACATAGAAAATATTACATATTGATTAACCTCAACCTGCAGCCGTCCTACCCTTTCTTGCTGGCCTCTCAGACGGAGCATGGGGGTCTGTTTTCTTAATGCGACCTCTTGTCATCCCTCCATTTTATTCTGGTGGGGGTGGGCAAGCAAAGAAAGTGGGTGTGTTGAGGGGCGAAGAAAGAGAGAGAGAGAGGGAAAGGGTAAGGGAGAGAGAGAGAGAGAGATAGAGAGAGAGAGGAAAGAGAAAGAGAGAGAGAGAGAGAGAGAGAGAGAGAGAGGGAGATGAAAACCAGGATCAAGTCTATGGAGGACAAACAGACATAGAGACAGCCTCAATGGTATTTCTATGTGCCCTGTTACTATGGATACAAAACTTGGTGGTTGTGTTTTTTCTGTATAAGCCTCCACTATGATTTTCTGTTAGGGTGTGGCATATTTATTTTTCCCTTTTGTGTGAGTATTCTCTGTGTAAATGCATCTCTACACATATAAACATCCACATACATAAGCGTCTGGGTATGTGTAGGTGACAGTGTGAGAACTTTTCTGAAAAGGTGTGTGTATGCGCATGTGTCATTGCATGGGGAGCAGGAGCCCACGTCCCCCATGTTCTCCTGTCCCTGTGCCATCATCCTAATTCCACCCCTTGTAGCTATTTGCATGTTTCATTGGATCTATTCTTCCTTGCTAGAGTCCTCCTACCTTTGTGGGAAGCCTGGCTGTCAGGACTGAGGGAGGCAGTAAGAGTGTCTTTGTGTTGCCATGTCACCAGTGGGCCTGGGAAGGAGAGTGTGCACTTGTCTGCGAGAGGCTGCCCACACATCATGTGCATGGATGTGTGCATGTGTGTGGCGAGACTCATACCATGCCTCTGTGTAGATTTGTGAATATGCCTGTGTGTGGCTTGACCAAGCCCTTGTGAGTGTGTGTGTGTGTGTGTGTGTGTGTGTGTGTGTGTGTGTGTCTGTAGGGGCTGAACTGAAGCTTTGTCCTCAGGTCACTGGCTGGAGGAGTCTCTTTTCCTTCATTTATTCAGGGGCCCTTCAGATCTTGACAAATCTGTCACTCTAAATTTGCGAGAGATTATGGTGCTCTCTCCCCAGCCCGCAGAGAGGTGATATATGATATCTGCTGCCCCTATTGATTGCCTGATCTGGTGGCAGAGGCCGGCGAAATGAACTTGAAATGAACATCATGCCTCAACTCATTGTGCGTATAATACACTACTTAATCCCACATTTTTCAGCCGCTATGGAATTCAATTGATCAATCATGTTCCACTGATAGTACTGTTTTAGGGGTTATTGCTGCTCCCTCTACTCACTGACCTTTTTATTTATTTATTTTTTTGTACACTCAGGCCCTGGTGATAAGACAGGTTACAGAGGCAGCAATGGAGAGAAACGGGGAGGGGAAAGGAAGGCAAAAGGAAGCCTGTTCCAGGCAGAGGTGGCGGTGGGAGGCGGGGACAGGGAAGGAGAAGGAAGGGGTGTGGGAGAGGAAAAGAAAGGAGGTGCTAGAGGTGCAGCACAGCAAGCTGGCGTGAAGAAAGCATTCGGAGAACCCCTAAGAGAGGCTGCTGGAGGCTTGAGGAAACTCCCCAAAGATAGAAGGAAGGTGAGGAAAGGGGGAGAGGCAGCAGTAAAGACGAATCATGAAGGAGCACATGGAAAGTTCTGGGCAATCAGGGAGGAGAACCACAGAGGCAGGGGCAGGGAGAGGGCAGCGGCATGACTGGTGGGGGACAGGGGGCGGCCCTCCCAAATCAGCCAAAGGGCCCATAGGCTCTCCCGGGCTCCCTCCAGAGAATGGGGTGGCACCCTTCCTTCAGCTAGGGAAGGAAGAGAGGAATGAAGGTAAGCAGAGAGGGTGGGAAGGGAGTTAGGAAAGGAGGTTGGGAGACGCCTGAGAAAGGACACAAAGAGAGGAGAAAGGGAGCCTAGGGCAGCGCTGGCTGGGAGGAGGGCATTTGCCATCCGAATAAACCTGCTGGCTCTGTCTCCCCATCAGCCTGGGTACCCACTAAGGGGGGCAGCCCAGGGCCTAGAAGAGAGTGGGGGTGGAGGATGAAAAGGAGAAGAGAGTAGAGGAGGAGCAGAAAGGACAAGAGAACACAGAAGAAAAGACTAGGAAAGGAAGGGAAAAAGAAGCGGTTGTCTGTGCCCACCCTCCAAGGGACCTCCTCAGGAGAACAGAGGGGGAGAGCTCAGAGTGGGATTGTCCATGGGTCGGCTCAGAGGTGACAGCAGAGAGGGGGTGGAACTGGGCTATGAGGCTGCTGCAGCAAATTCAAGTACTGAAGCCCCTTTTGGCAGAGCTGGGCTGAAAGAGAGGAGGAGGCTTCAGAGTGAGCAGGAAAGGAGAGGGTGTGAGTAATTAGGTAGCATCCTTCCCCTTGTGAGCGCCTGTGGGCAGGGACCATGACCGACGCATCTCTGGAGCTCCAGGGCCAGGCACGGAGCTGGGCTTACAGTTGGTACTCAATGAATGAGGCTCTCCTAGGAGCATTCAAGCCAGAACCCTGGCAGAAGGTCTCTGGACTGGCAACCTGACTGGCTTGGCACCCTTGCAAGGCAAGTCCCTCGCATCCCTAGGTCTCAGCGGCCCCTGGGTAGACCTATGCCCCACTTCACTCACCCCCACTGCTTGTTAGCTTCTGGCAGCCGGGACTCTGGTCCACGGGAGGCCCTTCCTGCTCTCATTAACACCATCCTGCCCCCTACAGTTCCTCTACCCAAAGGACAGAGAACAACACCATATTCCAAATTAAAAACAGAACCTAACCTTGGAGCCACAGAATTGCCATCCAAAGCAGGTAGGAGAGGTTCCTTGGGAATAGGGCCCCGATGGCCTCTGTATTGGACTCCCCACACCAACGCCCTGGTCTCAGAGAGCAGGGTCAGCACAAAATGGATCTATTTGCCCGTGGTGGGAGCTGGTTCCAGGGAAAGTCTTTCCTAAACGATGGGAGGAGGCCCCCGGCCTTCACCTTGATGGGATAAGAAGACCACCCCTTCAAGGACTCCAAGAAGAAGGCTGGAGTATGGTGGCCATATGGCCCGAGCTTTCTGAAACAGTTCTGATTTCCAATATCCTTCTCCACGCTCAGGCCATGTTTTTAGACTGAGGTTAGAAAATATGGTTGCTGTAGGTTTAGTAAGACCCCATAGACCAAGGAAGGAGCTGTGTCCTAGTTGGTCTCCATATATTGTCCTGCTGTCCCCTGCCCAGCCACCATCCATTAGCAGTTACAATACCGAGAGCTTATTACATGCCATTGCTGAACTTTACACAGCTCATTTAATCCACCACCCCCTAACAACCCTGGGAGGTAAATACTGTGACACCTCTTTTAAAGCTAAGGAAACTGAGGCCAAGACAGATTACGTAGCTTATCCAAGGCCATGCAGCTGGTAAATGACAGTCAGGATTTAAATTCAGGTCTGTCTGATTCCAGAGCCTGCCCTCTACATCATTTCACTCTGCTGCCTGGGTGCTAAACCCAAGGGCCCAGCTGAGGGCCACTTGGCCCCATCCGGGACATGATTTCCCTCCCAGCATCCTCACTTCTCTGCCTTGCACCCTCTCTACACTGAGGCTGCAGCCTGTAGCTTGAGCACAGACTGTGCCCAGAGTGATTAGGGGACACCTGGTCCAAAGTCCTCATTTTATAGTAATGAAAGCTAATGGGGTGGGTGGGGAGGTGAGGGAGGGAACGTGACAAGCCCAAGGTCACACAACTAGGAAGTAGATTTGCAGGACCAGAGCCCATTCCGGGACCTTGGTCCACTACACCGTGAGCACTTCCAAGGAGAGTGAGCCACCAAGAGTCCTTTTTGGAACAAGGCAGATATAAATAAATTAATTAAACTGCTGAGTTAAAACT